GCGCTGCGCCGTGCAGCTGGGAGCCGGTTCCAGTGCAGCTGGCTGTGGCTCGGCCCTCCGGCATTACCCTGGCAGCCCTTGGGGACGGGGACGGCCCTGGCAGCTCGAGGTGTTCAGGATTAAACTCTCGGAGCTGCCAACCCCGGGGCCACGTGCCCGAATGTGGGAACAGCTTCCGAACCTGCAGGTCCCCGGGGAGCCCTGATGCTTTGACATGCGGACCAGCACCACAGCCCCTCAGTCGGGGTCAGAGGTGCCAGGCAGCCGTCTGCTCCGTGCCAGGGGTTTTGTTGCTTTCTGCTCTCCTTCCCTCCCTGTAGCACCTGCGTCCAGCCGCTGACTCACGGCTGCGGTGGCTGCAGCCTTGGCTGGGGCAGGGTTATAGCACCCAGCACCACCAGCACTGCTCCTGGCTCAGACTCCTTTTAAACACCAGTGCGGGATTTATTTCCCAGGTTTTAGTTCATCCTGGGATGGTTTAGCCACCCGGCTCTGCCCCAGCACCCAGCTGGCTGGGGAGGTGCAGAGCTGACAAGGGCCCCTGCCACCCACGGGTGCTCCAGCCACGCTCCCAGCCAGAAGACAGGACCCAGGGCTCACACCAGCATCCGGGATGTGAGATGCATTGGTCCAAATCCTATCTCTGACGGACTTCCCCTGTGACTTGAGCCAAGTCCTTCAGCCACTCCCTGCCTCAGTTTCCCCCGTGCAGCATTAACCCTGGCCTCAGCGAGCACCGGCTGCACAGAAACACGATGTGGAGGATTTCCAAGCTCATGTCTGCTGGCCGAGGCCCTCGCTGCCTCTGCTTTGTCTCCTCATGCTGCAAAACCTGAGCTCTAACGAGCTAACGAGCCCCAGGACCACCCTTTGGGCTGGGTGGTTTGTCTGCTCCCCAGCAGTTGCTGCACATCACCTCCTGCCTGCGCGCAGCCTCTAGGCTCCATGGTTTCCTTTCCTCCCCTTCTGCCGCCATGCCACAGCCCAGGGGTCCTTGATCTGGTGTCCCCCCCTCCATGCTGGAGACATAAACCCGATTTTCTGGCTAATTTTGGAACAAGGGCCACAAGCTGGGCTGGCTTGCCCAGGCCAAGCAGCAGCCCCGTGGCTGGGGAGCATCACAAGGGCTTAGATGGGGCTGCAGCACGGAGGGTCCCTGCAGGAGGGACGCTGCCGTGTCCGAGGCTGCCCTGGGGTCTGCTGTCACATTGTGCCACTCTGCCATTGCTGGCAGCAGTGGCTTTGCCACCTCAGGCTGCCCAAAGCTGCAACGTGGAGGTCTCTGCCCCAGACATGTGCAGCCCCATGGTCTCCATCACTCCATGACCGCGACATGTACCCGGGGATGGAGGACCCTTCCCCAACCTCCAGCACCATGCGGAGCCGTTCTTGGCTGCACTTAACCCCGGGCTGGATGGAGCAGGGCCATCCCTCCCCCCTAGGAAGGGGCCAAAATCCGCCGGGCGCCGGTGGTGGTTAACCGAGGGCAGTTCTCACCATCCAACC